AAATTTTCTACACTATTGAGTATAAGGACCGATGCAATAATTAACAAATAAAATTCTATGAGTATAACTTAATTAGTTCGGTTCAACTCATTTGGTTTGTTCTGAAAGACCGAAGTCAAACGTAGCAACTACGATTAGGTTCAGTTTTTTCATTTCGTTTTGATTTTTGCGGTTCAATTTAGTTTAGTTATGGATGTGTTGAACTTAGAAATGGTTTTCGGATTTTTGGTTTTTCAAATTGAACCCTAGACATTGTCACTGGTGAGTGGCCGCTACGCTAAAGATCATTTTTCAAGTTGTGCCCGCAGAATAGATAACTCATTTTATTATCTCTACAATCTTATAAGAGTGAATGAGAGTAAAGGTTATTTGGGTATATGTATATGAAATGTGTTTGTGGTACGGTACAACTAGATTCAATTGTACATTCATTTTAAAGCATTGTACCTATTAAATTATATTCTAACTTTTCTAATTTTCTTCCGTTAGTCTTCACCTCTTTAAACTTCCGTTAACTTTTCATTTCTCCTTTGTTGCTAACATCTTCAATTGGGTTCGAATAGAGCTAATTTTACCCAATTGAATTGTTTGCTTTAATTTCTTATTATTACCCTTTTTCCCCTTTTTCTTTTTATTCACCCTTCCCCCAATCAGACGTTGGTTATAGATCATCGGAATTATGGAATTTCGACCATCGGCGGAAATCAGATTATAATAGGATCTGTTAGCTTGTAGAACAGAAGTCTTGACCTTCGAAGTCCTTGGCTTGTTTATCCGGAGTTAAACCTACATTCATTTTATAAAATTCCACCAAATTATATACTACATATGTCCCAAATTAATTTGCAAATTTGAATTTTTTTATCGAACAGTTTCATTTCATTCACTTAATTAGGATGCTAATTTTTAATTATATTCTAATTTGGAGTTAGCAACTTTGAAGATATTTTAATGTAGTTTCCGAATATGTAAATTTTAATTATTAAAAATTCAGTTAATTAGCAATAGAGAGGATTTAACTTTAACAGTGATTGACCAAAAACTATTGACTTTGCAAATCAATTTGGAACAGATGTTTACAACAATTCTCTTACAGTAAAAAATGTGAAACCAGACATGCTATTTGAAATAATGTAGGGATTCATATGTTTTGTATGTTTGTTAGTCAATTAGAATTATGTGGAGACAAACTTTTTCTCACAGCCCAGTAAATAGTCTTATATGGTTACTAAGCAAGTCTGTTAGAATGCAAGTTTGAAAATTTAGGATTTAATTAATAAAGCGGCAGAACTAATGCACAGATAACTTTCCCTCGGTTTTGTTATCAATTCACTGCTAAAATTAATATTTAACTGCACCAATTTAACTACACCTACTAGAATAGTAATATCACTGATGGTACTAATAATAATATTAAAAATAACAACAATAATAGTTTTTTAAAATATTTGGTCACCCCCTCCTGAATCACCGTTGTTCCAAGAAGTTGAGATCACATGGACTGATTTCTTTCCGGTGGCTGGTAGAAGCGAAATAAATTTTACACTTGGCTTCTTACCGGTGGATGGACAAATCGGGATGTTTAATACGAAGTAGTTTGTTTGAGAATTATATATTGTGATCGTAGCAGGAACCGTCGACCTAAATGTAGAGTATTTCTTTGCGGGATTAGCGATTCAGCTTTTTCAATTTGAATCGTCTGTTTATATGTCTCACCTCATTGTAACTTTGAGTTATATGATTGTAGTTGTTATTGGGCATTTTCCCGATCGCGCAACGCGCGTCACGTAACTAGTTATACCTTATAAATTTGGAAAATTCTTGCAGCAAAAATGTTTTTATTTTCTAGGGAAAACTTTCAAATAGGTCCACATACTTTTAACAAAAACTCAATTGAGTCCATGTGCTTTTTTCTGAGTCAATTAAGTCCACCAATTATCAAAAAATGAGCAAATCAACTTTTTAGTAGGTAATCAACCGGTTACCCGGTTAAATGCCTACCTGGACGTCCGAGCTGGCATTTTTTACTGATTTCCGATTTTTTTTATTTTTGGGAAAACTGTCAAATAGGTCCACGTACTTTTAACAAAACGTCAATGGAGTCCATGTACTTTTTTCCGAGTCAATTAAGTCCACCAACTATATGAGATTGTAAAAATTCAAACTAAATATAATGGCCATGTCTTTTACCCATCTACGAGGTTGGCGTGCTCTATATATATTTCAAAACATTTGGATGGATCAATTTTTTAAAGATAACACGTTATTAATTATGGTAATTCAATGTAAAATTCCTTATTTAATAAATACTAGGAAGTATAATGATTTATTATTTTAATCTGCTAATTGTCCGTCTTGTATGTGCGGTCTGTATGTTTTTGCAAATTAGACATTATACATACTAGACGAAGTACACGTGCGATGCATGGGGTATCTAGAATAGAATAAAAGTTTATTTGAAATTACATTTTATTACGATGATACATGATGTGTATTTTTATCAAATATAAAAAGATAATAGAGTTTATATGTTGTAGCTTTGGTCATCACGGAACGAAGTATATAATAGTGGCTATATGAAAATAAATTTTGGCTCATACGAATATTTTGGCACAAAGACCAACATATTAGGGTTGTAATCTAATTTCACAGTAAGATAGAATTATTCAAATTTGTATGAAAATTATAAATCCATTGGTATGTGTTTTGAAATTATAGTTAATAATGGTGTAGTTTAGGATGTTTTAAAACTGACTAAAATTTGATCATTTTTTTATAGTTGGTGGACTTAATAGACTCGGAAAAAGGTACATGGACTTCATTGACTTTTTGTTAAAAGTACGTGGACCTATTTGACAGTTTTCCCAAAAATAAAAAAAATGGAAATCAGTAAAAATGCCGGCTCGGACGTCCACGTAGGCGTTTAACTGGGTAACCGGTTGATTACCTACTAAAAAGCTGATTTGGTCATTTTTTGATAGTTGGTGGACTTAATTGACTCGGAAAAAGTACATGGACTCAATTGACTTTTTGTTAAAAGTACGTGGACCTATTTGGCAGTTTTCCCTATTTTCTAAATTGGTCATATTTTCTAATGATAAAAATATTCAATGAGTAAGTATTAGTTATGAGCCCCAAAAATTATAGAGGAACATAATGCTGAGCAAAATAGTTTTGAACCCTAGACAATGCCATTAATGAGTTGTGTTGCTTGGTAAATGAAATGAACTACATAGTATAAAATAATGGTGCTTTTAACATAAATATCACTGTTAATACATTAAAAGACAAAATGAATAGTAATAAATTGCATGTACAACAGAGGAGGAGGGGTCAAAAGTACACAACTCTACCCCTATACAGAAGTTTTTTCTAAACGATTCATGATAAAGTTCACATCAAAAATTGCATGAATCTTTGCTTCATAACAAACTAGTGAGCATTTCGAACTGATTCTGTATAAAGGGCAACCTCGTATCCAATTTGGAGCTAATAAAGGAACACAGACAAACTAGTGAGCATTTTGAACTGATTCTGGATAAAGGGCAACCTGGTATCCAAATTGGAGCTGATTCTAACCCAAACCCAGATCGATCGGCCTTTAAAAAAGAATATTTCCAGTTTCGAACCGGTTCCCATTGATCCTTTAAAAAAGAATATTCTTTTGTTTGCTACACTTCCTTTTGGAATGTATTTTAGTTTTTTGCTACACTTTTCCTATTTCGTAAGTTTTCCACTATGTCATAATAATCGGAGCAAAAGCGGTCCAAACGAGTGACCAAGTCACGAGTCAAGCCAAACCCGATAGGTCAACGCAGATAAAATCCAATCAACATTTATACTTTATTATATTAATATAAATATAACAATATACAAAATCAAAATTTAACGTAATTATGTTTCACAATAATCAAGTAACTATAATACTTGATTATTTTTTTCTACTTTTTATCTTCTCTTCCGTACTTTTCACTGTCTCACTTTTTCTATATTATTCATTACTCGTACTATTTTACACTTTAATATTGTGTCAAACCCTACTATCCCCCCCACCTCCTCACCATTTTTCAACTTTTAAATGTACATCAATGAAGTAACTACTCCCTCTGTCTCCCTGTTAGTGTCTCATTTCCTATTCACTTGATCAACACAAATCACTCTTAATCTCTTACTTTATTTATCAAATTTTATCAAATTTGATTCTGATTTTTGCAACTTTGTAAATCTTTTAATGTAGTTTCTGAATATGTAAAAAAAAATTCCTAAAAATAATTTGAGTGCAGACAGGGATCTATTTGCTTTATCGTCGATCAAACATCGTAAACCGCAATGGGTCAATAACAGGGGGACGAAAGGAGTATAATACTTGATTATTTTTTTCTACTAGTACTTTTTATCTTCTCTTCCGTACTTTTCACTATCTCACTTTTTCTATATTATTCATTACTCGTACTACTTTACACTTTAATATTGTTTCAAACCCTACTATCTAAGGATGGACCGGTTCCGGTTCAGGCCCGGCCGGGCCTCGGTTCATGAAGGGGAGGCCCGGAACCGGCCCGGGTAACCCCCGAGTCCAGGCCAGGCCTCGGTTCTATTTTTTTTTTTTTTTTGGCTTTTCCTAGTTAACCCCCAACCCTCCCCTCATCCCCAAACCAACCCTAACCACCTCAAATGGCCCAAAATACCCAACCCAACCCAAAAACTTAAAAAAAAATTCAAAAAAAAAAATAAATTGGCCCGGCCCGGGCCCGAACCGGTTGGGCCGGTTCACCTTTTGAAGGGCCGGAGCCCGAACCGCCATCGCACCAGGCCGGGTGACCCGAACCGGGTAACCAACCGGTTCACCGGGCCGGTCTGGGCCCGCAGAGTAGCGGGCCGGACCGGTTCCGGGCCGGTTGGCCCGGCCCGAGTCCACTCCTACTACTATCCCCCCACCTCCTCACCATTTTCAACTTTTAAATGTACATCAGTGCTTTTAAAATGTTTTACAATGGTTCAAATGCAAAAAAATGGAATCAACCCAAATAATGAGACCGATACTGAGACGATTCCAACCCCATTTATTTTATTTTATTGCATTAGAATCATTGGGATTTTTTTGAAAGGATGGGTGTCCTAGAATCGGAAAATATGTCCCAGTTCCAAGCCTCACTTAAAAATTTTATGATCAGCCAGTCCGGACCGAGCCTATGCGTAGCTATTATTTTGGGAATGAGAAACATTTCTAAAAATGGAGTATAGCTGGATGTTATGTTATACACAGCATTAACAAATGAGATGAACTCGAATATTTAGTGCTTTAACAGTTTCACTCATGCACCAATCTAACATATAACAAACACCACCTTCGGAAAAGCTTCCCGCAAATCCTTACTCACCACATCCATATTGGTTTCCACAAACTTGATTTTCCCCCTAAGGGCTGTCCCCGCGCGCATCACAAGCAGCTGATGGGCATATAAGAAGCAATAAGAGCCCGAATAATGTGTCATCCATCGTTAAAAAGATCAAATTAAAATGATCCTCAAAATCGTCCTGCAATTACTTCATAGTATCCTGCACTTACTTCATAGTATCCTGCACTTGCTTCATAGTATCCATCATTAAAATATTATGTGTGATATAAATACAATCAAACTTGTCATAAAATTAAAGCAGATAAAAATATCATGGTCTAACATGGATGGAGGTCAGAAACTACTGCACGTACAAGAGTTACTAATTGATTAACAAAAGATTAAAACTTACATTGATATCAACAAACTCTGGTCTCTAGAGTTTGCTTTTGTCATCTTTAATGCTCTTGTCATCCCTATCACTCATTTGGGGTGTATATTGGCTTGTAGAAGACGGGGAATACCCAGGTGCACTGGGAGAATAACCTGCACTTGGACTGGACACAAGTAAAAGCCATCAAGAGCAAGAATGAGACAAATTTAAACAATGTGCGTTTAAGATGTGACTTATTGCCAAGGTACAAGTTATTTTTTGGAAAAAGGAAATTAGTTTTACTTCAAGAAGAAGCATTCGGGAACTCAAGTGCTGTCTACCATGAAGTTATAAACTGAAAGAACATGCACAGTGAGTTGAGCAAACTTCACATACCTGTATGGAGGAGAACTAGGGCTGTAATCCGGACTTGTGCCCGAGTTGTATGGGCTGAAATGCCATCACAGAAACAACAAAAACTTGTTTTCAGACATGTCCATATAAATAGTAGAATGTCATTCCTAGTGACTCTAAAACAGATGATGGTTAAAATTAAATGCAGAAGTTACCTGGTTGGACTATAGGTTGGGCTGGAAGGTGAATAAGAAGGAGATGTTGGTGAGTACGATGGTGATGTAGGACTGCAATACGCAATAAAGGTAGATTAGCTATGTAAATCGAAAAACAAGACATGATCATACATGTATCAAGGCATACTCATAGTGCATTTTAGGGTGCTTGTTTCACAGGAACAGAAGTGATTTTTAGATGAAAAAGGATACTTTTACTTCAATCAAAAAAGTGTTGTGCAAAAAAGGAGGACGTGCTTTTAGGGGAAGCAATATTTTGCTTATCTAAAGAAGCTGCAGTTTGGTACTTCAAAAAAAAACATAACACACTGAAGTATTTAACTAAGAAAGCACTTCCAAAATAAGTTACCCAAATAGACTCTGATTAAGTTTCTAACTTCCCCAACTAATAAATCTAATATCACTAATCATCAACAGCTCATTACAAGAAATTCTAAAATAGTTAAACTGATGTATAGCATGTCCTATAATGTAAATATATATTCAGGAAAGATTCAATTTATATACCTGTAACTTGGGGAAGATGGGCTGTATGGACTAGGAGACAGCTTGGGGCTGGTGGGTGAGTATGCAAGTGATGGGCTGTACCTTGCTGAAGGATTGTAGCTCTGTGAGGTGGGACTATAGCTTGGTGATGTAGGACTATACCCAGGAGAGGTAGGGCTGTATGCTGGTGAAGTAGGGCTATAGGATGGTGATGTTGGACTATAAGATGGAGAAGTTGGACTATACGAAGGTGATGTCGGGCTGTATGATGGAGAAGTCGGGCTGTATGCAGGAGATGTAGGGCTATAAGCTGGTGAGGTAGGGCTGTAACTAGGTGAGGTAGGGCTGTAACTAGGTGAGGTAGGGCTGTAGCTAGGCGAGGTGGGGCTGTAGCTCGGTGAGGTGGGGCTGTAGCTCGGTGAAGTTGGTGAGTAGGATGGACTGGTGGGAGAATATGCTGGAGAGGTAGGGCTATAACCGGAGGAAGAGTCAGGGCTATAATTGGGTGAGGATGGACTGTATCCAGATTGCATGTATACCGGTGAAGACGGACTGTACTTAGAAGAGGGAAGGCTAAATGGGGAAGAAGAGGGTGAAAAAGCCATTCCGCTGATTAAAGGAGAAAACTGAGCACCGGTGGATGGTGACATTCTGAAATTAGGACTAAGCATAGGAGACATGAGACCATCATATGGGGTGCCACTGATCGGGGACCGTCCAGGTGTCATTCCAAATTCAAGCCCACCGTCCATGTAACTAGGCAACGGGATCTCAATAGCATGTTTCAACATCTCCTCATTCAGATACAAAGCACAGTCGCCTGTCCCAATTGGTGCAAGCTGACCCAACATAATATTTTCAGTAACACCCCTCAAGTAATCCGACTCAGCAAACACAGCAGCATCGAGAAGAATGTCCACAGTCTCTTCAAATGAACACCTCATCATCGGTCCTGTGTCATTCCTGTTTATTCCATGCCGGGTGATGGCCATCAAATGGCCACGATATGTCATAGTGTCACACAAAATGGCCAAGTGTCTGTAATTCACATAAGAACCATCGAAAGATATGACAGCACGCAATTCATCAAGTAATGCCTTTCGAACTGCCTCAATCCCAAGAATCTCAATGACTTCAATCAAGTGGTTGCTTGTTGTTCTTTTGGCATCAACATCTTCATGACACATGACTGCTAGGAGGTTGACTCCCTCAGTGTCCAACATCCATTCTTCCTCAGCTTTAAAGCCTTCCTTCACATCAAATTTTTGTACTTTGGTGCTCTTGATGAAGACTTTGTTAATGTCAGGAATGCCACGAAGAGCCATCTCGGTCAACATGTTGCTCTCTATCTTCTTCAGAAAAACATCATCCTCAGCAGATTCATCATCCAATTCACCCTTCGAAGCTTCATCATTCATGATGCGAATCCGGAGAATCAACTTTTCAGCGTTATCGTCATTGAAAATGCAGGTAACGTCATCGTCGAATTCAAGGTTGATCCTCTCTGCAATGTCAGCCATGCTGAGTTTCTTGTCCACCATCATTTCACGATTCAACTCAATTCGAAGCAACCATGGAGATATCTTGTCAGGGTTAATCTCTTCGTCTGGCATCTCATAATACGACTTAACAAACTCGACATCCTCTTCGATGATGGTGCTCATAGGGTCTGGATCATACCACACTTCTGTGGCCTTGGTCACACTCCTCAGGGTGGTATACTCCAAAGCACACTGTACCGCTTTAGCTCTCTCCTTCGTTTTACCCACTTCAGGCTTTAAGAACACAGAAAGAGACGGGGTTTTTATTTTCTTTGCCACATTAATGATCTCCCTCAGCCTTGGTACACCTAGAGTGACATTCTTTGCACTCACGCCAGCATAATGAAAGGTGTTAAGAGTCATTTGTGTAGCTGGTTCACCTATTGACTGTGCAGCAACGCAGCCAATCATTTCACCAGGTGCAACAAGTGACTGTAAAAAGCGAGACTCTATCTCCCCTATTACCCAATCAAAAGCTTCTCTCGTGAGTCTGTACTCCTTCAGGACCCTTTTACTTGCCAAGACACTACGAAGCAAAATGTTGAAGAAGAGGGTTGCATTTTTTTGAGCTTCTATGCTGAGATAGTCATCACCATGAACAACCTTAAGCCTTTCTTGTAGTTTGTCGACGGCTTCCACAATCTCCATAGGGTGCATATCGGATGGTCTTCGGAAGTCAATCCGAAAAGTCTTTTGAGCATTTAAGACCAGTCTCTGAATATTAACAGGTAGGGGCCAGGAGTTATCACCAGTGACAATAATCTCTGTTCCCAGCTGGAGCCTATCGGATTCAAGCTTCTGAACCTCTGCATCAAAGACACTTCGGATCTCACGTATTAACCTCAAGTCATCAATAGCATCTGGGATCATGTAATTTGGATTCCAGTTTGGATCATCAATCTCGTATTTGTACATGTCATCAAACGTCAATTTATTGACTTTCAGGGACTCTAACCTTTGTGTTTCTATCCAAACAGAATCCATACCATCTTCCCCATAGAGGAACTGGATAACATCACCTAATGAGTTCCTGACTGTACCATCATATTTGACCATGATATCTTCCATGGCTTTCACCAATCGCCTTTGGATGTAACCAGTTTCAGATGTTTTCACCGCAGTGTCAATCAGACCTTCTCTACCACCCATAGCATGGAAAAAGAACTCCTGTGGGGTCAACCCTTGCAAGTAAGAGTTTTCAACGAAGCCACGACTTTCTGGACCATTGTCGTCTTTGCTGAAATGAGGGAGAGTCCTTTGAATGAAGCCTAAAGGGATTCGCTTCCCTTCAACATTCTGCTGCCCCACGCAGGCAGTCATTTGAGAAATGTTTATAAAACTTCCCTTTGATCCAGCAGTTACCATAGCTTTGAGATTATTGCTCTCAGCTAAACTCTTTTCAGCAAACGTTCCAGCATCATCACGAGCCTTGTTCAAAACCTGAATTAATACACAAAAAGGATGCCATATTAGTTGAAATGGATGAGGTGAAGTGTGGGTGAAAAACATCATATCAAGGAGAAAAGAATATCAATTAATTGCCTAGACTCTATAGACGTACCTGATTTACTTTATTCTCAAATGACTCTTGAACTGTTCTCCCAGGTTCAGCCTCTAACAACTTCTCTCGAGCATCTATTATAAGCTTTTTAACTTTGTTCTTTGCATCAGAAATAGTGTTACAGATATTTTTCATGGTCATAGCATCAGCGATTGTATCCCCAATACCAATACTAAAGCCATTCTGCAATAGCCAGTAGTTAACAAGCCACTGAGTATGTCCAAGAAATTTACGTGCTGCATCAGGTCCCACTTCTTCCCTGTGTACAGAAGAAATATGTCAGTATATTTCTTAGGCATGATAACTAGCTAGGAATGCAATGCATATAAATTGATACCATATAACATGTATTAGACTTCCAGTGGATGTCCCAAGACTCTTCTTACAAAGAGTTCCCGTAAGCAACTCCCCCTTTTCAATTCTAACTTGAGTATCTCTTGGAGTAATAAACCCTTTTTCTGTATCTAAATGCCAGGATGAATATCTAATGAGGTTTATGGCCTTCGGTATGATGAGATTGAAAACTTGTTTCCCTGTCCAAAGTGGCCTGGGTTTCAAGATTGCTGGAGCAGGGACCTTTCCATCAAAATCTCCCCACCACATCAATATATTCATAAAAACATCCTGCATGCAGCAAGGAAAAAAGTTAGTCTTTTAAACACAAAACTATAAAGAAAAGTATATGCACATGGTCATCAAGAAAGTTAAACAATGACTTTAGACCATCACCTTCTCAATGAAAGTGTCTCTTTTAGTGATTTTGCGGCACCCTAGAAGGGTATCCTGGACAATTCCCATTACAGGTCTATTTGCCTGAGGTGACACAATGCACTTGGGGACCATCATGAGTTCAAGTACTTCAGCTCTAGTTTCAAATGACTGTGGAACATGCATGTTCATCTCGTCACCATCAAAATCAGCATTGTAGGGTGAGGTGACAGACAAATTCAAACGGAAAGTGGAGTATGGCATGATTTTTATCCTATGTCCCATTATAGACATCTTATGTAGACTGGGTTGTCGGTTGAATAGGACAAAATCTCCATCATTCAAGTGCCGCTCCACCTGAACCAATGAACCAAGGTTAGAAACTTAGAAAGCAGCGTAGAACATAAAAGTTTGTAGCTTGTAAAAGTTCACCTTATATCCAAGCTCGAGGTGTTGATCACTGCTCTTCTTTAAGTAGCGAAGATCAAGCCTTTGTCCATCATCCCTGATTATATACTTGGCCCCAGTTTTACCCGGTGGAGGATGTGGCCCATACTCAACGAGTTCCTTCAACCTGTTGACCAATTATAAACATGACCAAGTAAGCATACTTCTTCGTTAAGACTGTGTTGGTGAATACTTTGTAAAATAAAAAGGACCTTTCGATATTGTATGGTGTCACAGTTTCTGGATAAGTGAGATTCAAAGCGATACTCCACGGGACTCCCAATTGATCGATGTTAATAGTTGGATCTGGAGTGATCACAGTTCGAGCAGAGAAATCCACCCGCTTACCCATCAAGTTGCCTCTGATTCGACCTTCTTTAGCTTTTAATCTACTACATATTGATTTGATAGGTCTACCTGATCTTTGAGTAGCCTGAGTAGCAAAACAGATTTACATTAACAAAAAAAACTCACGCCTTTAAATTGTGTGATAAAGTTAGAAACCACCCATACCCTAGGTTGACCAGGAAGTTCATTGTCAAAATAAGTAGCAATGTGGAACTGCAATAACTGTGCAAATTCGGAAATGATGTGTGCGGGTGCCCCATTACGTTCTTGCTTCTTTAAATTTTCATTGTGCCGTATAATCATCGCTAGTTGATGAGTCAAATCATCCTACACCGAAGTTTAAGTAATCAATACATGTTCACAATCAAAAAACAATATGCAAATCTGGAGAAGAAAGCACTAAAAGCCTCAATAGTAAGAGCACACCTCACTCCTGGATGATGTATCCATCATTACAGAAGGCCTAACTGGAGGTGGGGGTACAGGAAGTACTTGAAGAATCATCCAGTCTGGGCGAGCATATTTGGGGTCTAGTCCTAACAATTGACAGTCTTCATCACTTATCCGCTTCAGAATGCTAAGGACCTGTAAGGCAAATAAGAAGATGCAATATTAAGAAATTATATGGATATGAGAAAATCAGTAACCGCAGCACAAGAAGGCTTAGATTGTTCAGCAATGTACCATTTCTGCCGTAAGTTGTTTACGTCCTGGCTCTGGCATCTGTTCCTGGTCATCATTCTTCTTCTTCTGACCTTTATATTCTGAAACCATTTTCATGCCATCTATACTAATCTTGGGCTGTTGAGCCCCACAACCACCCCTAGTCTTCTTGACAGGTTCGTCAGGATCTTGGCCTTGCAGATTAATTTCATCCCCTCCTTCACATTTGCTTTTGTTTTTGCATGCATCCAAAATCTTTTTTAGCCTATTCTTGGGATTTCTTATTCTCATGGCTTGTTTGAATTTGGGCTCATCCTGCCAATATGTCAACATAACCCCAAGGTCGTCTTTAAATAAAAGATAGCGGTAAAGGCTGATATTGTTGAGTTGTAAATAGATGCAGATCACTCTGTACAATATCAAATAACTAAGCCACATAAATTTTGGAGTATCATCTTTGATTTCATGTCAAAGAAAGATTTGAAACTCAATCTAATTGATACCATCTAGTATAAAGTTTTTGAGTGATCATTTATGAGAACCAAATACTCTCTCCTCTGACCCTTAAGGCTAATTTTGTGTAGTAAACTTACACCCATACTCATTGGGTGTAGAGTAATTTAGCTTGATATAATAATTGGCTTAAAGTTATGATGTATTTGACATGCGCTTAGTAAAGTTCATGTGTCTTTAAGACGCCAAATAACTTTGGAGGCCACCAGAGTACCTCATCTGCTAGTATTTTGGAGCAATTGAAGCAGACACAACGAAGAATACTAAGCACAGCTTTCATGAATCCGATGTGAAACATTGGCTTAGCGAGCTCGAGGTGACCAAAGTGCCCAGGACACTCGGCCATGCTGCCCATACAAGTCTCGCACTTCATCTTCCGGTCGATTGTCCCAAGCCTAGGGTCGCTTAGACCACCTGGCTTTGGTTTTCCCCTTTCTGTAGTCTCACTGTGCTCTATATGGACCACTGACATTTGCCGCTGCAAAATGAATCAAAACCAACACGACGAATTTAATAATTGAGCAACATAAACAGTTACACATTCTTCGAACTACTACAAATTCAGTGGATTGGAATTACAATTTCGTCAGGGCTCAGTATGCCGAACTGGACCATACGAGCCTTGGCGACCTCCGCCGGAGAAAACGGAAAGCGCAAATCCATGGCAGTCAATGACCACCACCAGCGATCGAAATCTAGGGTTTCAAAAAATTAGATCTTTGATCTGTTTTCACGAGAGACAAAATGAGCACTTTGTTAGTCTGAATCTCTCTTTGATTTGTTCATAATTCTTATCTTATGTTAGTCCGTTAGTAGCTCCTTGTTCTTATCTATGCGGCTTTTCTCCTCGATGGAGAAGAAGGGTTGTATCAAACAAAACTTCGTCCTTTGAGGAGCAATATATAGCAATAGCACCGACGTGGTTTCTGGTTGGGGTCTCGAGTATGAGGCTAACTAAATATGACCCCTATAGTATACATAATAATAGGACATCCCCCTAAAGTATTTTGTTCAAGGAACGCCAATATTCTTTTGGGAATTTTCCCAAAATGGGACTATTTGACTTCATAAATTCCAAAAAGGGATGAATTCCAAATTCATTTTTCACTGGGACTAAATCAGCTGTGAATGGACAACTATACCCTCAACTAATATGTGTCGTTGCATGATTTCCCGTAGTCGAATATACGCGCCTGTCTAATGCGCAGACAGTTATTCGTCTCTTCTACTTTCGACGCAAACCATACCTCCAAACTTCTGCAGCGTAATCGAAGAACAACAGAGATTGGACCTGAGAGTAGAGAAGTAAGAACAAAGAGATTGACGCTGAGAGTAAAGCATCATTACTAGCGTCAACAATGGACAATACGAATTGCACGAGTACAGAACGAAAAAACGTCATGACCATGAAGCTGGTATGTATTTCTGGTTTACATTTACGAAAACTAGTTTAAAATGTGTGATAAAAGGTGTAATAATGTATGTTTTAAGCTTAATTTCTAGATACTACAATGTGTTGTATTTGCATGTTTAATATTATGCACAGAACAAAGTGCGATTGAGTTTTTTTACTTGAGAACAAGTGCGATTGAGTTTTTCTTACTTCAGAACAATTGCGATGGAGTTTATTAACTGATGTGTATGTACGAGTGAAGATAGTTCACATATTTCAAAATTTAATGAGTTGTTCGTAGAATTTATTTCCATCATGCTCTGTTTTTAAAATATTGACAATTTCTTAGTGTTATTTAGGAATTGATCAATGTAATGTCATTTAATTGACTTGAAATGATGAATGTAGAACATCATATTGTTGTTAATATTATTTAATTATTGAAATATACTGTTCATAGGCAATAAGGAGATCCTGCGAGAAGGACATCTTGTCTAAGATGAAGAAATTAAGGGTTAACTGCTATTGTAATCTGCTAGAAGTGGTTAAGACGATTAAAATGTACTTGAGCGCAGAAGAAATTACAAAGTTTAGGGGAGCTGTGTTTGGATGGATATTGGATGTGGAGTCTATATCTTGGGTAAGTGGTCAGTTGTTGTTGGGGCTTATTGGGAACCATGTTGAGGAGGTCAATCACATAATAGAGACTGAGAAGATCACATTTAACATTAGAAATAGTTTGATATCATTTACAAAAGAAGACTTTGCTCTGGTGACATCTTTTAGGATGGATGGGGCTAAAAAAAATAAAAGATGGTGTGCAGGGGATTTGTGGAAGAGATATTTCAATGGGAAGAGCTATGTGTCTCGACAAAACATCACAGATGCTTTTACTCGATACAACTGCAACAATGAGGGAACTGTGGAGCATGATGGTGTTAAATTAGGTCTACTGTATATGCTGGGGCATGGACTATTTGGGAACCAAAATAAAGTAGCACTGCCTTCTTACTATGTCAATCTGGTGGATGATCTGGAAGTTTTTTACAGCTATCCATGGGGAAGAGATATATGGGATGATTTGGTAAACTATGCAGGCAAAAGTGTTGAGCTACTGTCAACCAGTAAGTCTGATCGTGTAACCTTTCCTGGATTTATGTTTGCTATGCAAATATGGGCATTTGAAATGCTGTCAGGACTGAGTAAAGCTGGGATCTGCATGTTGAAAAAAGATCAAGATACTGTTATTCTTCACACACTCAAATGGGTTTTTACTAAAAAACCAAATATGGATCTACTGTGCAAGTTGATATTCTATAACAATGAGGTACCAATTAAAATATTTGAATATACATAATTCATTTTTATATTTGAATATTGATATCATGTGTTCCTTTTTTGCAGTTTGAGTATAAACCAATGGAAGTAACAACTCAAGATATGGAAATACCGCAGTTGGCAATGCTGTTTCAGAACTTCAAAAGAGAACGTTGGCAGTTTGATGGGGGAATGGACTGCAGTGAAGAGATAGAAATGGAAGACGATGATAAAGATGCTGAATGCAATGATAAACAGGCTGAAAAGGGAAGTGCAAAGGTGGATAAAAAGAAGTCAATGTCTCAAAAGGGTGTTGTTGTTAAAAATGTGAGTTATGGATCAAAGAAACTGAAAAAGCAGTGCACTAATGAAAAGAAAGATGATGATGAAGATGATTCATTACTGACAAGCCTTGTTAAGAAGACTGATATCATGATGGCAGATATGGCAAGGATTAAGATTATCCAGAGAAATCATGGGTCATTATTGAGAAGAATATTGAAAAGGTTGGAAGGTAAACAAGTGATGACAGATCAAGGTAAGGAAGTAAGCGAAGGTGGGAACATTGAAATCAAAGATAATGGCACTGAAAAGGATGCAAAGAAGGGGAATGATAAAGAGACAGAGCAGGAGGTTGATGATGTTGAGGAATTGGTGAAGAATGATGAAAAGGAAGCAATGGCAAAGGAAGATGGTGAAAAAGAGAAGGAGAATACTGAAGTGTCTCAGAATGAGATAGATTCTCAAAGACCATCCTTCAACATATTTGGTTTTTCTTCACAGGAAGAACAGAATATAAAAAACACTGACGATGAAGGATTAGAAGACTTGAATGATGCCCGTGACAGCACTATTAAAGAGAGAGTTGTTCATGACACAAATGAGAAGGTGCATGTTGACAATGGTACTGGAGAACAGAATTGGGAAAAGTTGAATGACGATGACACCGATTTTGATGCGGATGAGCTGCTCAAAGTGGATGAACTGGTTATCAAAACCATTCAAAAGAGCAAAGAGAAGTCAACAGAAACAACCATTGAGGAATCCCACAATGGTATGAAATTCAAAACTTGTTCAATACATATTCATATGATTTTTATTAATATCTAAATATATTGCAGGAAATGGAAGAGGTTGAAAGGAAACTAGAAACAAATTCAAATAATAAAGAAGTCAGTGCTACCAATGAGGTATATCTCTTTTACATAGATTTTTGACAGTAATGTGATTCACTTATTGCGTATTGCCAAATATCTGATGAACTGTCAAACATGACAGTATAGAAAATCAATATGTATTAAGTTGGCAGTAACACATACTAGGTGATGACTCTCAAATATTATATGTACTGACATAGAATGGCAATAATATTCTGTTAGTACCCAATTTTGATAGATTTTGAGGATACCACTATACATTACACCAGTACATTGTGTCTTATTTATTTGCGTATCAGTGCTCAAAAAGTGACAAGATAAATTTACAATTTTTGAGACTAATGAAATACTATCGAAGAACTCAAAATGCAATAAGGTAATTTTTTACCTTAATAGGACATTCAAATCCTACCGACGTGTATTTCATTAAGTCTCAAAAGTTCAACTGTCACAAGTAAAAATCACATACGAAGGTAAAATACATTTACTACATGTATAATTGAAGACAAGAAGTGACGAGCAATTAAATGCTCGATAAACGCACAGGGACCCAAAGTATGGGATACAGCTTAGGTCTGCAGCGGCTAGCAAAAACAAAAGACATCAGCTCCAGCACAAGAAGACAAACAACAACATGTTATCTTCTGCGAAACAAGGAATCAACGAACAGAATTAAACTCATCCTAACCAACGGATGAGATTAATCAACTGGAGAAGCCTATAAATATAGGCTGAAACGAAAGTTTCTAACCAAGCCTGAGCATCCTAAGTAGAGAAATATTCCACTGAGCATTCACGAGCTAACTAGCAAAAGAGAAAGTGTGAATCTATACTTTACTCTCTGCTTAGACTTTTGCTTCACTAAACTTCTTGGTCACAAGTATTCATTGCTAAATCCTAGAAGTTAGTTCCTAGTTGGAGGTTAGAACTTTCTTGTAAACAAATCACAGATTGTTGTAAACACTTAGGAGAACAGTTGTTCAGATCCTAGAGTGTGGTTAGATAGATAGAGTACCTTTTGATCCCCACTGGATCATTTGAGAAAAGTCTAAGGACTGAGTAACTTTGAGTGGTGTTATACTCATTGTGAAAAAACCTTCAATCTAGGCCTAAGTGTTGTAAAGGCTAGATTGGCACTAAGTGTATTGAGCTTAATACTTTAGTGGAAATCCATCTGAAAGATGGTGGGACTGGACGTAGGAGGATTACACCACCTCTGAACCAGGATATATTGTGTGTTGATTTATTTTCAGTCAACATAGCACACACCCAACACTTCTCAAATAAAGGAATCGTAGTTTGCCTGCAGAATCCTAAGCAGTAGTCTTAATTGAACTCTATTGCTTATCCTACTGCTTAATAACTTACTTTTTCTTGAGACAACTGTTTCACAAGAGCTTCGGAACATCACTACTAAAAGGTCTGTTTTGACAGTTCTCAGAACACACTCCTCAAACGCAGCAGGTGCCTCAGCAGTTACCTGATACTACCCAACTGCTGAGACCTATGCTCAAGTAAAACACCTTAACATCTCCAGCTCAGCACACATTCAGTAATCCCTCATCACTCTGTATAAGGCCATATAATCATCTCTCCCAAACTTATATTTTCCTCTAGCAGTTGCCTCAGCAGTTCCCTGCCATCCAGGCAACTGCCAAGCCAACTGCTCACTGTCTGAAGTCTAAACATCATTCAAGCTAGAAAGTTATCACAAACTAATCATAAAGGGGTTAAAGACTTCCGATGTGCATCTATAAATCTCCCAAAAGATTATAGATCAACTCATCTAGAAGGGGGAAGTTTTTAATGTTGAAAAAACTTTAAAAGTCTATTCACCCCCCTCTAGACTTTTACCTCTATCCGGGACCATCAAGTGGTATCAGAGCGGAGTGTTCCTAGAGTCTGTTTTTGACTAATTTGAACTAAAGATCCAAAACTACTCTACTTCCCAAAACACTTTCTAAAAATGGACAGTGAGTTAGCAAAGAATCTCTTGTTCAACTTGAACAAATTTGATGACTGGAAGATAAGGATGAAGGCACATCTTAGTGCCCTACATGATGAAATGCTTGAAGTGATTACAGCTGGACCTATCAAAATCATGAAGGTCAGCACATTTAAAACTGATGATCAAGAGGATGTGTACACTCCAAAACCCAAATTGCAATGGACAACTGAGTACAGGAAAAGAAACAATCTTGACAACATTGCCAAGGACATTCTCTTCAAATCTGTTGATGAATCCATATTTCCCAGAATCAGGAAATGTGAAACTGCCAAAGATGTCTGGGATGAGCTCACAAAGATTGGAGCAGGAGATGAACATGAGAAGGACAATAAGCTGAGTATAGCCCACAAGAAGTTTGAGGACTTCAAAATGCTGCCAAATGAATCTATCCATGAGATGGAGTCTAGATTCTTGAAAATTGTGGCAGAGGTCTCTGATCTGGGGAAAGAACTATCTCAAAAAGAGATCCCCTCAAGGTCTTGAGAGGCCTGCCCTTAAAATGAGACATGAAGGTGACTGCTATAAGACATAACAGAGATCTCAGAACCTTATCAACTGATAAGCTTTTCAGTGATCTCAAAGCCTATGAATTTGAGATGAAGGAAATCAAAGAAGAAAATGAAGATGAATCTAAGACACTAGCTCTGGTGTCTGAGTCAAGCACGTCAAAAATTACTGAGAAATCCCTCAACAATCTCCTCACTGACGAGCAGTTTGCTATGTTTGTGAGGAAGTTCAAAAGATTAATGAGAAAGGAGGGAACTGCCCCAAAGAAGCCGTACAACCAGCCACCCAGGAGATAAGGGAGACCTCAATCAAGTGAGGATACTGTTATATGCTATAACTGTAGACAACCAGGACATTACAAGAATGAGTGTCCTTTACCACTGGCTCAAAAGTATCAAGGGAAGCAGGAAACTGCTAAAAAAGGTGGATACAAAAAGGACTTCAAAGGCATGAGACAAGACTTTGTAAGTGAAAAGAGGACGGAGGAATCCCAAAGTGATGATGAGAGCAGCTCAAGTAATGAAAGCTCCTCATCTGAAAGCTTAGAAGAAACATTACTATGCCTAGGATCCAGGCAGATGGCTGAAGAAGGCGGCAGTTGGCTCACTGGAGAAAGCAGCAGATGGCTCAGTGAAGATGAATAAAGCTGCTCCCCCAAATGCTTGATGGCCAAAGACCACTACAATGATGTTGAGGTAACATCGTGCTCTTCCTATAACTCTAGTGATTCTGGACCAACCAATGTCACACTGGAATCTTTACTACAATATTTCCAAAAAGTCCAAGATCACCATGTTCTATTGAGATCAGAAAATGATAGATTAAAACAAGACATTAAGGCCATTCATGCTAAGTTGTTAGGTGCATTAACAAAAAACAATGCCTTAGAGGAAGAGAACAAAGAGCTGAAAAACAAAATGGATAACTTCAACATGGATAGTAAAACCAATGACCTTACTGCTGAAGTTACTCTAAATAGGAAGAGAAGAGGTCTTGGCTATGTATCTTGATGCACACTAATTAGTAGTGCATAATTACATGTTTTTATGTGTGATTTATGTTAATTGTTTGACGTTTTATTTAGTTTGTAAACATTTATGTGATTTCAGTTGTAATTGTATTTTAGTCTTTATTTGTCAGTTGTAAAGTTTAGTTAGGATTTGTGGTGTTGGAAAGGAAGACTTTGAAGTGAAGAAAAAGAAGATTTGGCTGCCCAGGAGCAAATACCCGACCGGGTATAACACTTAACCCGGTCGGGTAAGAAGTGAAAAAACGAAAATGCAAAGAAAGTGCATGGCCCGGTCGGGCCCACTACCTCACCCGGTCGGGTGAGAAGTGACCGGGGACAACCCGGTGTGCAAAGATCACCCGAACGTGTAGAAAATCCAATTTTTGCACTCACTCGGTCGGGTCCCTTACTTGACCCGGTCGGGTCTGACTTGACCCGGACACTTTAACATACCAAAGATCACCAGAACGTGGGGAAATATCTGATTTTGACCGGACCCGGTCGGGTGAGTACTTGACCCGGTCGGGTACCCGCCAAAGGTGTTGAAAAACACCTATAAATAGCACACTTTTTCTTCACAAAAAATCAATCCCTTCTTCCATACTTTTTAGCTCAGTTTAGAATAGCATTTCTTTATATTTTTCTAGCTATGTTTAGTCTCCAAATGAGGAGCTAAACTTCCATTCTTGGTGTTTCTCTTGAAGCTTGTTGATTATTAAAGTTGTGAGTTATTTTCTTAATTTCTTTCCTTGAATATTAATTAATAGTTCTTTCCATAATACCATCTCTATATTAATGTTGGGGAGTGTTGCTAAGATGACAATTAGTTAACATCTCGACATTAGTTAGTATGGTATTTTCTTCCTCTATATTAATGTTGGGGAGTGTTGCTAAGATGACAATTAGTTAACATCTTGATATTAATTATAGTAGGATTCATCTTCTTTAATAATATTCTTCCTTGAATATTAATTAATCCCTACTCATATTTCATATTAATATTTTGAACACTACTTAAAGGATCAACTAGTTTTGTTTCATATATTAATTATTACTAGAAACGATCAACGAACCGATGGTTAATCGTTGATGGTTTCACAAGTAAGTAACTTCGGTTTATTAATGCACGGACGTGGTTAATAAACTTAAGAGGGATTAATTTTGTTGGTTAAACCGAAACCGTTGTGTTGAGGTTATCAATCTCAATTGATTTCATCAAGGAGTTAGAAAGATCAAATGCTACTATTAAATCGGTATAAGGCGTTGTTCTATATTTGATTAATAGTAAGGGTTATTAATGAACGGTCGTTGTTAATAACTACCCTCGATGAAGTGGATATACTCCCCGATTGAGTATTCGAGAGGGAATAAGTTATAGATATAACAATGATCGACTAAAATATATCAACAAGTGGAAAGTAGCAATGCCAAGTCCTTTTTATCTTTGAATTAAACACATATAGGTTGTTCATCTTAGTTCTTAATTAAATCAAATCACTCAATCCAAAT